GTGGAAGTCAGAAAAAAACATATACTTCCAAGATACAAGCCTGTCAATATGTAAGTAATTTGATGATGATGAATTTAGAATGATCAGATTACCGCTACCTGCTTGACATCAATAATGCAAAATACCTATTCACACCCATCTGCCAGACATCTGTCTATCTGTCCGATGCTTTCAAGAGAGGACGTCAGGAAGGACTGGTTAGTGTGAGCACACAGCACAGGGTTGCTTTAGCTGATGACTTGGGTGCATTGAGAAATGGTGCCTGGGAGTGAATACGCTGTCGTTGCCTAGATGCTGACTCAGTGATCCACATCCTGTTTTCCGGCTAGCCTCAATGAGCAAGAGCCCGTTTCTCTGTTTCTGGATGCTGGACCATGAGGTGCAAAAGAGAGAGCTACTCCACCCACAGAACCAAACAGCCTGGTGGAGAGCTGCTTATTTCATTTTAAATGTGCTCCACGTTTAAGGCCACTGGCTGCTCTTCCAGGAGATGAAGGATTGATTTTTTTTTCAGCACCCAGGTGACAGTTCCCACCTACCTGTAATTCCAGCCCCAATGCCTTCTCTGGCCTCCAAGGCCACGAGGCAAGCACAGGAAGACAGACCATTCATACAGATAAAATAATTTTTAAGTGGTTCATCTTGAACCAATGTTGACATCACGGGCTGATAAACCAATCTGCTAGGGAGGTTGAGACAGGAAGAGCATGCTCTCAAGGCCTGCTGGGCCACAGAGTAGGTTCAAGGCTGGTTGCCTAGGCAACTTAACAAGACCGACTCCCAATAAATAAAAAATGAAGTCAAGACAGCCAAGGAGGAGTCAAAAGAAAGAGTCCAAATGAGGTGAGGCTGTAGCTGAGCAGAACAGTGTCTGTGTAGACCACATGGAGCCCCAGGGTCCTCACCCAGCTCTGGGAAAAACAGACAAACAAACAAACACAGGAAACAGAAGTGCTTTGGTCAACATCTTTTAAAGAGTTGGATATCAGCGTTGGAATCTGGGATTGCGCAGCTTTTGGGGTTTTGAAAAGTGTCACACCACATGCTTTGCATGTATCTTTGCCCACAAAGAATTCCGAGAATCCGCTAATGAAAACAGAGATAAAACTGCTTCAAACACCATGAAAGAATAGTATAGACACAGACAAGGTGCTAAACAACGGGTATAAACAACCTGTATAAAAGGAAATTCTGATCTGTGCATGGTGGGGCATACTTGTGATCCCAGCACTTAGGAGATGGACTCAGGAGGGTTCCAAATTCAAGGCTTGTTACGGTTAGAGAGTGAGTTCAGCCTCGCCTGAGTCATTTCACAAGACCCTATCTCACAGAAATAAAATAAAAAGTAGAATATTCCAAAACCTGCTGCAGCAAAGATGAGCCTTGGAAAACTCCGATGACAGGTGAAATAAGCCAGTCATGAAAGAACAATGACTGGGATGGTTCCTTCTATACAAGATGCCCAGAGGTATCAGGCTCATATCCACGCCATAGTCGTGGTCGTCATATTCCAAGAGAGGAAGGCAGAGTGCGGGTTGATGTTTAGTGGGTACAGAGACTCGGTTTGTGAGAATGAAAAAGTAGGTTCTGGAGGTGGGTAGTAGCAAGTGATGTTTGCACAGAGGAATCAGTGGTTCTACTGCCGTGGAGTTTTATATTTACACGAAGCTAAGAAGGGGCTGGAAATGTATCTCAGTTGGTAGATTACACCAAACTGTCCACCATGCAGGGATCCCTGGGTTTATACCATGCATCAGGTAGTGTGGTGGTTCATGCTTACGACCCCAGCACTTGGCAGGCAGAAGTAGGAAGAAGTTCAAAGTCACTGTCACCTATGTTTGGAGTCTGAGGCCAGCCTGGACACTAGAGAACCTTATCTCAAGAGAGAAATGTGCACTCTGGAGAGAGAGGCAAGCAGATCTCTAAGTTCAAGGCCAGCCTGGTCCATGGAGACTGTTCTAGGACACCCAAAACTACACACAGAAATTTTGTCTTGAAAACCCCTAAAAACTTTGCTGTACGTAACTCAGTGGATAAAGTACCAACATAGCATACCAAACCCACTGAGTTCCATCCCCCGCACCTTCTAAATCAGGGTAATGGCACACAGGCTGTAATTCCAGCCACTGAGATGGTACGAACAGGAAGATCGGGAGTTTGAGGTCAGCCTCAGCCAGCTCCTGGTCTACCTAGGGTACGTGAAACCCTGTCCTAAAAGCAACCCATTGTATAGGAAGGAAGGGGGATGAGGGAGGGAGAGAAGGAGGTAGGTAAAAGGAGAGAGCAAAAAAATAAATAAATAAATATCATGAGACAATGAGGAACAATAACTAAATGATATAAATGGAATGTTTTAATGGCTCTGCCTTTTAGTAGTTCAGAATAAAATATTTATGGGTGAAACAGTATCCACCCATGCTTCAGGATAACTGGATAAAGAAAGACCAGGCATGAAATGATACGTGTGAATTAACTAAATGTAAAAAGAAAAACTGAGAGTATTTAAATAGGTTAGCCCTTTCTTCTGCGTGCTACAACTTACACATAAATGCAAACTTAAAAGCCTCCCAGGTGAAACGCTGGTTGGTTGAAGCAGCAGGTGGCTCGGTCACCATAAATGCTCTTTCAAGAACGTTATCCTCAGTCTGAATGAAGTAAGTATGTCACAAAGTCGCTGCCTCAACAGAAATATATGGTCTTCAAGTAGTTTATCAGTTAGCTTCATTTATATTGAGCCTTCATTTGATTTAAAAATAGATTATACAGCCTCATTTTATTGTGTAAAAAGGGGAACCTTTGTTTGCTGTACCTATAAAAGATGTATTTAAAGTCTGATTTTATTTTTTGGATTTCCTAACATTGCTGGAAAGGATATGACCGCAGCAAGACTTCACAACTTGGCAGGAATTCTCTGTTATTAGGGACAGTGGTTTGAACCGTCAATCACGGCGTGGAGTCCTCTGGATACTTTACCAAGAGAATCCCAGAGGCATTCCCAGAGATGCTCATTTATTTGATTTGAAATATGTGAAGCTTTGTAAAATGCTACCAAGAAGAAGGGTGTCATTAAAGTGGCAGAGTTCCTGTGTCCCCCAACCCAATACCTGAGTCCAAGAAAGAGGTAAAACCAGAGGGCTAGGGTAGAATGATTGCAGGGTTTCTCTGTAACTCTAAATACTTTAAACCATTCCAATAGCATCATTAGTATACTGCGTGGCATTCTTCACCCCAGGCTACTTCTTAGAATAATTTCTTTTTTAGATGCTAAGATATAAGCTAAATTAGGCTAAGCAAGGCATAGGGTGTCATGGTGACAGACAGCACCCAGAATAAGGTGAATGACATGCCCTTAAAATGTGACAAGTTATACAAATTGTGAAATGCACTTATTATTACCCAAAATTTTGACATGACCGTGCCAAAAGAATAAAGGTGCTTATCTGTGTGACATAAATTGCCTCAAAAATAACTCTGAACCAAACACACACAAAGATGTCTACATGGATTTCATAGATGTGACTTCATCACCAATCAATCACTCTCATTGGCAAATGAATGTGATCTGTCGTGCCTGAGAGTGCTGCCTGTTTCCATCCTCACGATCCACAGTGCCACGGAACCGTAGAACTCGCTCGTGAGTCATTTAATCGTGCCATGATCCCATCCGAAGGTTGCCACTGTTAAATGGCTTGATTTCCTATTAACTTCTCGCACCTGATTGCCATTTGGTTTACTTGCTTAGTTGTGACCAGTAACCCAGATAACATGGAAAACTAGATACAAGTGAAGACTTGAAAAAGAAGTCAGCAAGAAAAAGTATATTGGGCTAATGAGATGACTTAGCAGGTAAAGACACTTCCTTGCCCTTAAACGACAACCTCAGTTCAATGCCCAGAAACCCCCATGGTAGAAGACAACTGATGCCCACAAATTGGCATATGACTTCCAAATACGTACACACACACAAAAAAAAATAAAAAACAGACAAATGAATAGATAGATAAATAGTATCAAAATTTTTAAAAGAAAGAAAAAGCCTATGAAGTCACTTCTGTAAGTGTTAAGACTAGAAACTGCCACGCCCCATGATTCAACCTTTATCTTCTTGGACTCTCCAGTTCCCACTGTCCCTGCACTGGTTATGGATCTCTCTCCTCTCTTGCCATCAATTAGATTGCTTAAGCCATTTTGGGGAGTCACTTCCTCCGGCTTGGCTGTGGGCTGTGGGCTTGGACTTGGTGTAGGTTCTTAGAAGCAACCAGACTGGTGTCATCATTCAACACTCCTAGTTAAGCACTCCCTCAGTTCCTCCTGTTTAGTCTGGCTCATTGGGTGTTGCCCATAAAAACAGTTTGGCTTTTGTAATCACCATTAGAGCAGGCGTGTGACTAATCAGCCAGCTAGGCAGCACGGCAGTTATCTTCTGCGAAATGAGTCTCCTCTTCCAGTCTGTGCTTCTGTCCCTCCCTGGTCTCTGATGGCCTCATCTATATTTGCTCCACAGTTGAGACTGTTTATAAAATTGTTTGCTTTTTTTTCTACAAATGTATTCTATATTCTCTTGACAGAGTGAAACTCACGCCACAGGGGAATTTGAACATGTTTCCAAAATACTACCCAATTATGTGGACACCTGGAGCAGGGAAGCTCTTTGTTCTCTGCAAGAGAACTGCAGGCCATCACTCACAGAGGGAATATTTGCCATGTGCCAGAGATGGTTCATGTTTCTAGCTTCTAAAACTAAGGTTTGAGGAGGAGCAGTGAAGTGGCTTATGGGTAAGAGTGTTTCATGGCCTGCTAACCTGAGTTCAAGCCCCAGCTGCCATGTTGGAAGGACAGACAGAACTAACTCTTGCAAGTTGTTCTATAACCTCCCTGCATGCACGAGTGTGCAGGCACACACACACACACACTGTGTGTGTGAGAGAGAGAGAGAGAGAGAGAGAGAGAGAGAGAGAGAGAGAGGCACACACACAATATTATAATAATGATAATAATAATACTTTGCAAGTAAAGTTTATTTAGAGTTAGTTTTACACTTACAGAAAAATCACAAAGACTGTATGAAGACTCCATATAGTCTGTATGGTGCCTCCATTACAATAAAGGGAACGGCATGATAGTGCATCAGTAACCATGCGCTGTGGTTGACAGTGAAGACTTTCATGCCTACTTCTCTGGCTTTGGCCTATTGTTGTTCTGGGATCCCCTCTAGAAGGATTCATTTTGATTGCCAATTTGGTGGGATTAGAATCACCATGGAAACAAAACTCTAGGCATATCTGTAAGAAAGTTTCTACATAGGGTTAATTGGCATGAGAGGACCCACACTAAATGTTGCACTATTCCATGAGCAGGTGCCTTGAACTACCAAAAAAAAAAAAGTGGGTTGAGCACCAGTGTCCATCTCTCTCTGCTTCCTCACTGGCCATGCATGTGACTGGCTGCCTCATGCTCCTGCCGCCATTAACTCCCCCACAGCAATAAACAAACCCTTACTTTCGAAAGCTCAGCAGTACATAAAGTAACTAATATACCACACAAACACTTATGGTCATCCCGTCCCACTAGACTCCTGCTCACTGTGATGGATGATACTTCTCTTCCACATGCAGTCACTGTGTCTCTCATGACAGAGAGTCTTTTCTCTCTTACTTAATCTTTTCTTGTCCTTTTTTACTATCTCTCTGTAGTCCAGGTTGCCATTGATCTCACACTCCTTCACATGCAGCCGTCAAGTGCTGGAATTACAGGCATTGCCACCTTGTGTAGCTTTGGGCTTCAATTCTTCTTGAAAGGTTTCACCCTTCTAAGGAGTTTCAAAGAATGTCCCTCAGTGATACGTTTCTAGAGTTTTTCTAGACAGTTTTTCCTAGAGATTGCAGTTAGTAGGTATTCCTCTAAGGAAGCCCCAGAAGGCAATATGTCATTGCTTTCCCATCTTAGTAAGGCTACCTAGCATCCGCATGACCTGCCATTGCTCACTGACCTCTGGTCACTTGGCTGAGGGAGCGCTTGTCAAATTTCTGTTTTAATTCTTGTACAGGAAGCCACTCCACAGCCCACATTTAAGTTGCAGGGAGCTATGCATTCCTTCTTGAGGCAAGGTATTTGCAAAAATTATATGAAATTCCTACTTATTTAGTCATTTACTTATAACTAAGGACTCAAACTTTTTAAAAATACATGGAATCGTAATCCAATACTTCATCAGCTTCGCTATCTTTCAACTGTTTTGGCCTTTCGGTAAATTTCCTTGTGTTCAGAGAGTTGGAAAGAAGGGAGAGCACTTCCTCAGTCTCTTCTTCTACAGGATGCGCCATCCAGCCCCTTCTTGTATGTTAGCTGCCCGAGTCCTAGAATTGGCCATTTGTCCAAGGATCCCTGATCCTTTTCCTGGGGTGAAGTCCTGGCGGTCAAGTCTGGCTGCTGCGGATGGGCGTGGCTGCTGAGTGTCCTTGCTTCAGAGGGAAACGAAAGGAAATTTGCATGTACACATATCGACTAATATTTCTACAAGTATCCTTTCACCGTAACATACATTCATAGAGATGTGGCCATCCCTTGCATCACGACCTCCACCAGTCTTGCTTCTTTCCCTGGTTCCCAGTGAGACATCTGGTCCCCATCCTCAACTATCCAATTGTTTAACTAGTCAATTCTAGTACTCAGGATACTAATAACAACTAGTGTTGGTGGATGGAAGGCAGCTTTATCAACTGAGGTCATTAACCGCGGTGTCTCAAAGACATTACTCAGTATGGCTATAAGCCAGGGATCACTGGATGATTCTGTTACCCACGAAGAAGGAGAGATAAGAAAAGGCAGTCAGTGTTCTCCACCCAGCATGCACCACAGTGGCAAGCCGTAAAAGAGAAAAATGCAGTGTTTTTGTTTAGAATTTTAGCTCAATTTCTAGGACATTTTGTCTCATTTTTTTTCCTTCCCTGAAATGCAGTCTTTGCTACAATATTCACCTCCTTTCCTCCTAACTATGATGATTCAGTCATTACCCACCCTTCACAGAGCCAAGAGGACAAATCTTAATGAGTTCACCATGAGTTGGAAGGGCCAGAGGGCACAGCAGGGACGGGTCAGCACATAGCCACTGACTGACTTAAGACTTAATATATAAGAGGAAGAAAACACTGTGGGAGGGAAGGTGGGCTCTTATTGCCCACCTTTTGTGAGGTTCACAACCCCACTAGCCTATGATTTTGTTTATTAAATCAGGTGTCCTTTTTTTTAAAAAAAAATCTCTTTATTAAATCAAACATCAATGTGGTATTCCTACTCAATGGCAATTCTTAAAACCAAGCAAATGAGTATTTTAGAAAAGTTGACCTGATATCTGGAAAAAATATGGAGCACATAATTCTACACAGGAAAATACAAAAATTTTCTTCATGTATGCTATAAGAGTTTATTTTATTTTCTTTTGTTCACTTTTTTTACACTGGAGATAAAATCTAAGACCTGAGCTATCTTCCCTGACCCTTGAGAGTTTAAGGTTCCAGAAAGCACCATGGAAAAGAGGCTTTGGAAATTCACCCACAAGAGTCTAAGCCTGACTCTGTCATTTAACAACTTTAGAAAACCAGGCAAAAATTATTTGCTGTATTATAAATTGATATTAGACTAGCAAGTATAATTTATTAAAATGGTATTTAAATGAGAAATTCTATTGATATTAGAAACCATATAGGATAAAATCATATATTGAACTTATAGCACAGAGAGTGTGAAACTAGTGTATGCAAATTTATGTCATTAAAGCGGAAGAACACTCCCAGAATAGAATGTAGGACTGAGACAACAACCTGGCTAAGGGGCTTTAGGAGAGTGTTGTCAGCCTTGGAACTCCAAAGATGAGTGAAGTTGGTTAGGCTAAAGACAAAAGAAAACATTCACAGACTGTAGAAGTGGCGTAGAAACGTGATGGAACAAGAAGAGAGGCCCCCTTCCTTCTCACAGTGAGGGGCTGCCATCACAGCTGAATCTACACAGAACCGAAAGGAGCCCCCAAGTTGTTTAGTTCACACTGATTTGGGGTTTTCTCCCCCATCTAGATGAATTTAATTAATATAGATTTTATTGATATCTTTTCCTGCCTTTCATCCTCCTGGTACCCCTCAAAATATGTGGAGACATAATTTTTCATCATATAATTCTTTTTGTGAGATGTTCTAAGGATTGCTAAGAACCTAAGTTGAGGCTTTGTGCTGGCTAGTTTTATGTCGGCTTGACACAGCCAGAGTCATCAGAGAGGAGGGCATCTCATTTGAAAAGGGCTTTCATAAGAATCAGCTGAACACTTTCTTAATTAATGATGGATGGGGCAGGTCCCAGTCTATTGTGGGTGGTGTCATTCATGGGCTGGTGATCTTGAGTTCTATAAGAACGTAAGCTGGGCAAGCCATAAGGAGCAAGTTAGTAAGTAGCACCCCTCCATCATCAGCTCTGCATCAGCTCCTGCCTCCAGGATCCTTCCCTGTTTGAATTCCTGTTCTGATTTCCTTCATTGATGGACTATGATAAAGAGATGTAAGCCAAATAAACCCTTTCCTCCACAATTTGCTTTGATCATGATGTTATCACAGCAATAGTAACCCAAACAAGGACAGATATGAAATGGGATCTCACCAAAGATCGCCTCTAGTGGAACCATAAACAGTACTGAGTACAATCACTCACCATCCTCAACGAGCTTGGATTTATTTATTACACAGTCTTACTCTGTAGCCCAGGCTTGCCTTGGTCCTGTGATCCTCCTACTTCAGCCTCCAGAGTGTTGGGATGACAGGCACAAGCTGCCATGCCTTCCCCACAGGAGGTTAGGAGTAAGCCAAAACAACGGTACAAATTTAGGTCTTGTTTCATTTATTTCAAAATTACATGCTTACTGAATTTGGAGAGAAATGTCAAGTAGCATAACCTGTAAAAAAAAAAAAGAAAAATATATATATATATATCTGACCTATAATATATATATATAAAGCAGTGGGCCAGTGAGGTGGCTCAATGAGAAGAGGAGACGACTCCAACACTGACTGAGTTCTATCCCTGGAACCCACATAGGGGAAGGAGAGAACCAACTCGCACAAGTTGTCCTCTGACCTGCACACATGCACTGTGAGGTGACCCACATACGTGACCTCACCCACATAAGGTGAGTAATTGTAGACAAAAATTTAAAAATGTAAAGTGTAAAGTACAATAGTGTATATATATATATGTATATATACATATATATATATATATTATTATATGTTTGGGGTCTAAAATGATGAGAATATTAAGAATCATCCATAAAAGAGTGTTCTCACTTTAATAAGTAGATTTTTGGATTCTCTCTCTCCCTCTCTCCCTTTCTCCCTCTCATCCTCCCTCTCTCTCCCTCTCGCCATCTCACTCTGTGTGTGTCTGTATCTCTGTCTCTGTCTCTGTCTCTGTGTCTTTCTCTCTCTCACACACACACACTCACACACACACACACACGTATGCACACACACACATTCAGAATTCCCTCTTCCCTGAGGATTTTGATACTGTTTAGGATTGGGGAATACAGATTGCTGTTTATAGAAAGAGTGGAAATGGAGGACAGCAGCTAATAGTTGCTAGGTGTCCAGTTCAAACGGTTACCTAGCAACAGCTTCAGATCAAAGCTGAAGTTCAGAAGCTTGACTGAGCTACACACTCAGTCTGCTAACCATTGTCCCACGTGTACGGTTTTTTAAATCAGACCTACCTTTGGAGTTATATGGGCTGACACTCAACTGACTGACTCTCATCTTAGCCTCTGACAAGGTGAATGAGCTGTGTTGATAGAAAACCACTCAGGTTATAAAGGAGAAACCTGACAGTAGTTAGAGCCAAAGCAAATACCTTTCAGAGCTGGAATGTAACAACTATATAACTCACAAGTAGGTTTTTTTTTAAAAAAAAAAAAATCCACTATTAAGTAAGAAAATTAGCAGTTTGCTTAAAATCACAAAAGGAGTCAGAAAAGTAGGTGTTAAATAAAAATAATTTCCACTGCAGTTAAAAATCACTCAAAGAGAACTCTTGCCAATTCTCAAGGCCCCAGTCTTAGTTTACTTCTAGGAAACTAAAACAAATATCTATAAAAGGATAAAAGTGAAATCCGCAGTGGCTGAAATGTGTAATATCTGTACCCTGCCATTAAGACACACCTTCCTTTTATTAAGCCTCTCTCCCTGTCTATACCCATTTTATACCCATGCCTCAAAAATATGACAAATATTTTACCTGTGTGATTTCTTTGTAGCAGCTTTTGAATTGGAGCCTAATCTGAAAGGAAACCTCGTGGCCAGATTAAAACTCTATTTCTCAGACTAGGTATGTTAGGAATAGAGTTTCCACAAAAAGTCAAGGTCAGGGGATTCACATAGATACTTTCCATACCAAATTCCATAGTAGAATTATGACTAAGACCTAATGCTGGAGACAGCCTAACTGCCTATGAACAGATAACTGGATGAACAAAATGTGACATATACACACACACATATGTGTACATATATATGTATAAATACATATACACATACACACACTTGTATGATAGCTTATGAAAGGGGAAGGAAGTTTGACGAATGGTTGCATGAAAACCTTGAAGACACTATGATGTGTGTAACTGTCATTGCTGGGTGATGAAGGGAAGGGACAAGGGGGAAATCTCTAATGGGAGTGGACTTTCGGTTAGAGAGGTTCCAGTGATTGACAGTAAGGGCTGCACACCGAAGTTAACAGGCAGTGCTGATCAACTGGGCATGATTAAAATGTAAATTTTATGCTGTGCATTGTTACTACAATAAAGAAAATCCAGTGTACTCATTTGGTTCACACCAAAATGTTCCATATTCTACAATGTTCTGGAATGGATCTTTAAAAGATCTTTACATTACAGGGAAAGAAAGATCTGCCGTGGCTGTTATATACTGTGTCCCTGTTGCAGGATGGACTACAGTGTTTGTGAAGCAAACTCGCTGCTTCATTCTTGCTGAGATTCTGATAGCTTCTAAGCAGAACTTTCAAAAACAAGTCACGGTTCTATAGTTGACCTTGATTATAAAACTTAATGTTCATGTTTTTCTCTCTGTGTGGTAAAATGTATAGACACACTGCCATTTTTATTCAGGGCCATGGGTTAAAAATGCTTGGTTATGGGCTGGAGAAATCGCTCAGTGGTTAAGAGCACTGGCTGCTCTTCCAGAGGGCTCTGGTTCAATTCTCAGCACTCATGTCGAGACTCATGAGCACTCCAATCCCAGGAGATTCAATGCCCTTTTCTGGTCTCCTTGGGCATCAAGCATGCATGTAGTACACAGACATGTGTGCAGACAAAACACCCATACACATAAGTAACTAAATAAGTAAATAAGTAGATAGAGAAATGGATAAGTAAATAAGATTAAAAATAGTGATTGATGGGATGTCTGGGATTGTAGCTCAGGGAGTACAGTGCTAGCCCAGCCATGGTGCATGCACAGCCATGTTCAAATGTGAACGCTGCATACAGCCAGGCATGGTGGCACCAACATATCTGTTATCTCCATTTTCAGGAGGCAGAAATGGAAGGATCAGAAGTTCCAGGTTATCCATGGTTCCATAGCAATTCCAAAGGCAGGTGAGCTATGTGATGCCCTGATTCAAAATAAAACATGTACAAACAAAAAATAATTAAAGATTAAATTGGACTTTTAGGTTATTGTGTTATTTGCATAAGTCATTTTCAGAAAGATTTGTTTAGTTAAAAAGTGTGATTCTGCTCCATTCCCTGGGGACTCTGCCTATTGATGTGGACTCAGCTTAGCTCTTTCTCACCAACCCTATCATCCTTCATAGCCCATCTCCATTCCTTTCTGTTGCCCAAACCCAGAAACGGTTTCTACCGGGGATTCCAAGTGGCAACACAGGGTTAGGACTCAGAGCAGTGTCTCACTCAGCTATCGTCTGAGAAGCTTCTTCTTGTAGTTAATGATAATTAACAGAGAGATCTACAACAGGACAATGTGCAGAGAGATACTTTGGAACATTCAGTGCTAAATGGGGTGTCTTCATGAGACCCCTCCCCTCGGTGAGCTACCCATAAGAGGAACTGGAAAGATTGTAAGAGCCAGAGGTGATAGATGACTTCAAAGAAACAGTGTCTCCCAGACACAACAGGACCCATATGAACTCACAGAGACTGTAGCAGCATGCACAGAATCTTCACAGATTCAAACCAGACAGGGTCCAGCACTGAGAGATGTGACATGCATGGACTCCTACCCTGAGTCAAGAAGCTATCTCAGTTGACACCTCGATTACAAAAGAAGGATCAGTTTTTTTGAAATGGAGTCTTAATGGGCATATTAACCATACTTCAGAATTGGTGTTTTTGTAGACGTTTTGTCTCATTTTGCTTAGTTTAGGCTTTTTTTTTCTTTTTTTCTTTTCTTTTTCTTCTTTTTTTCCCTATTTGAGTGTGTGTGTGTGTTTCTTGATTTTTTTCTTCTTGTTTTTGTTTCTGTTTGTTTCATAAATAGAGAGAAAGGATGTGGAGTTGTGCAGATGGAGAGGTAGGGAGGTTCTGATAAGAGTTTGAGGAGGAAAAATTCTGATCAGAATACACTTTCTAAAAATTTTTTCCAATAAAAAGAGAAACTTCTTTAAAAGCACAATTCCTTCTTTTTATATATGCAGATAGATAACTTTTTCTGGTTGGAAATTTGAGGAAGTGTATAAATTATAGAAAAATCAGGAAATCCATCAAGGTTCAAAATATCCTCTGGGGCATATTGCAAGGCCTTTCAGCATTTTATCCCAGCAGCGTGGTAGACCAGATGTCTACTTCCACAGTTTGTGCTCATTAGAGCTCTTTCCTGCAGGTCAGGCCCCAGGTTTACTATGCTACATCATCAACCAACTTCCTTGCCTTCTTGGTTGTGTTCAGCCAATGGCCCTGCTTCACAAGCCTCCAGAAGGACTCACTTTCAGGAATTTGGTGTTTTCTTCTAGAGCCCTCTAAAATCCCATCTTAAAATGGTGATTTGAATATAAACTGTTTATTACAGAGCCAATCCCAATAAAATGTGGTAGGAAAATGAGAAAGTGAAAGAAAATAGAGAAGCCCAGGAAAGGGGATTGTCAAGCAAACTTTCCTTAGGGTCAGCTATAGTTTAGAGGTGAAGAATGAGTTGGTCTGCTTAAGAATGGGATGTGGGAATATTTGTGGGCAATTCTTTGATTAAGGCTTTCATGAGTGCATGAAAAAGCCAGCAGTGAGAGGCTGCAGGAGCAACTGCACATTGAGACAAGAGAGCAAAGAAAGCTGAACAATGGTATCCTGAGTCCTGGCCTGCTTCCACTGAAGTCTCAAAATGAGCTGCTAGAAGGCCAGTTCCCATGTAGTGGCATGGGTAGTTTGGTGGGGCCAATGCCAGAATGCTTCAAAGAAAGAAAAGGAGGTCATAAGTACCCACAGCTTTTTAACAGTGAAGTTTGCTTTGGAAAGAAGGGAAAGAAAAGACTGGAGCAGAGACAGCTGATTAGGACAGGGTTAAACTGTTGAAAGTTTTCTCCATCTATAAGAGCTGGGGATAGTCTTGTGGTGTGTGTGTGTGTGTGTGTGTGTGTGAGGTGTTTTTTATTTTGTGAGACAGGGCCTTCTTTTGTAGCCTGGCCTCAAACTCAAGATCCTTCTGACTCAGCTTTCCAAGTGCTGAGACTATAAGTGTGCATCATCACACTTGGCTGGCTAAGACAGACAGAGACAGACAGATGGATACACATTCACACATACACTCACACTGTGCCTCAGGTATCCAGTAATATCTGAGTATTGTTTCCAGCTGTCAGCCCCTCTGTTCATACGTGCAGCCAGGAGGCAATCCTCTAGAGATCAGCTCAATGCAGAAGTTGTTTGTGCTACCTGAGAGGAGGAAGGACATTCATGAACATGAACACCCATGTTGACAAAAAGGCACATGATCTACTTTATGCTCCAGTAGTTCCAGCATTAAAATTATTTAAATTACAATCAGCTTTCCTATGGCAGAAGGGTTTTGTCCTAGAAAAGACATTGAAGCTAAAATAGAACAAAAAGAAACAACAAAACATTGAGGATAACTGATTTGTCACACATTATAATGAGTACAAGGTCAAAGTCTTTTTTTTTTTTTTTGGTTTTTCGAGACAGGGTTTCTCTGTGTAGCCCTGGCTGTCCTGGAACTCACTCTGTAGATCAGGCTGGCCTTGAACTCAGAAATCCGCCTGCCTCTGCCTCCCAAGTGCTGGGATTAAAGGCATGCGCCGCCACCACCGCCCGGCTTTTTTTTTGAAGGTTAAAGTCTTATTACATCTACTTGCCTATCTGGTTCCTCAGACTAATACAGGTGACCATCCTGAAATCTTCCTCAAATTTCCCACCAGAGACTTGTGGCCTTGATTTTTCAGAAAGGGACTCTTTAGTAGCTATACAAATGAATGACACCCAAGACAGAGTGAGAATGAGATCCTTAGAGTTCAAGACATTATTGGAATTGATAACATGGTAGGTAGACCAGATGTCAAAATCACTGGTTTGGCCACCCCTAGTAGCCTTTTTCTCTACAGAGAAATGTAAGCCCTAATATGACTCCTATGAGGTTACACAAAGCAAAGTGAACCTATGACATAGAGAAGCCCAAGATTATGATACTTAATAAGAAGTTAAAAGACATAGCTTCTATGATTAAGCTAACTGATCTTGGAAGTAATCAGGGCTTGCAGGAGTTCTGCAAGAAGCACATGCATGGGTATGCATACAGCTAAACATTTGTTCTAATGGGGCAACTATTTGCAGCTTACAGCATTTCTAATCTTGATTACTTTGCCTATGGTTTTAAGTCATTGTGGTCAATGTGATGAATATTTCATGAGTGACATGAGACACAGTAAATGGAGATAGGTGCTTTAATTGCATAGAGTTATTGTGAAAACAAGTTAGATAATGTAATATAAAAACAATTTCCAGGCTCTATAGTACATAATTATGAAGCACACCATTTACTTGCTTGCTTCTTGAATTCCTCCTTATGTATCTTTTGTAGTGACCATGTATTACTCTAATTGAATTGAAAACAGCTTAATCATTGCCAAATTGGTCTTTGTTCTTGTTTTCTGCTATCTCAATATTGCTATTTATAAACATCTCTGCATAACTAGCATTTTTTCCTTTTGAAATGCTTCCTTAGGATGAATTCTTGGAAGTGCAAATAAATGGTGCCTAAATAGAGTTGAGACATTCTTGCTCAAATGATGAATGCCTTCTTAACATATCCAAACAACCAGTTAATTATGATATACCACAATTCAGATTAATTAAGAAACTAATTTTAATCGTAGTGATGTAAGCAAGTCAGCATATATATATATAACCAAATTAAGATAATTTTCAAGACAGGAAGCATATACAATAGAAGAACCCTGGCCACAGATTAAGATTTGACTTACCAGTCCAACAGTGCTATTAACCAGATACATGACTAGACCAAATCCAATTTACTTAACACACTCTGTCCTTAGTTTCATCCTCTACAAAGTGGAGTCCAAAGTCTTTTCTAGATCAAATACTGACTCCATGGGGAACAAAGGCTCTTCTCTTCCAGGTAAATCATCTGAGGGCAAATGACTGATAAAATTCACATATGACACGAGTAACCTTCTCAGATCAAAGAGCATCTCAGGGCAAAGAGTTTCCAAGTCCTGTTATTATAGTATGCTATCATAACACCTCAGTGTGTGTGATTCCGGCAAGTGGTTGGTGACCTTTGGGTGGAAGAAGAGAGGTTTCCACTCTTTACACATCAACAATTTAAAAGAAATGGGTTGAGAATCCCACGGTGTTCTCTTTAGTGTGGGCGAACAGGAATCAGGCCACCCTGACCTCGTGGTCAGGGAGACTGCCAGGAAGCCTGAAGAGCCTCTGAATGCTGAGACAGCACTCTTGGCAGCTCTGAGAGGAAGCAGAAAGGGTAGTATAATGAGTTAGTGCTAAGAGATGAGGTTATAGCAGGGACTGAGTGTTCAGTTAACCCCTGACTGTCATTATCAAGATCTTTGAAAAATGGCCGTATAATTATTTCAGAAAGAGCAAACAAACCAAACAACAAATAAGCAATGTCCTCCCACCACAGCCACGCCCACTCCCACACGCCCTCTCACCATAGCCATGCCCACTTTTACACTCCCTCCCACCACAGCCACACCCACTCCCACACTCCCTCCCGCCATAGCCACGCCCACTCCCACACTCCCTCCCACCATAGCCACGCCCACCCCACACACTAGTTATATTCAAGTTTCATTCACTTCAGAGACACTAATACTCAAGATAAGTAAATAAACTATAGCCACAAGACGGTAACTCGGTGGTAGAACTCGTGCCTAGCAAATAAAAAGCCAGGCATTCTATCTCCAGCACTGCAAAATATAACTATTTGAATAAATTATGATGTCTATGCTTCTTAATTACTATTCCTCAGATTCAATTCTGGAGTTTCATGTCTATATTTTTCTCTATTGCTTTGGCATGGATGCTGAATCGAAGACCCCAAACTAGAGGTCATCTATAAAGACAAGGTAATCGACATCTACAAAGACAATGAGTGATGAACTGTCACCAAACCCAGAATCTCTGGATTATCCTGACCATCCACTGCCACCTTTCCCTGTAGACCTTGGAGCTCCAGTTCTGAACTGATGTCTGGCTGGCTATGTGGCTTCTGATCACTCCGTCTGTTCACCTCTGCTTCATGATTATCTCCTTTAAACCCTAATGCCTTCCTCTGTTCACTCTGGCCTTCCTTACACTCCATGAAAAACAACTTGCTGTGAGCTTTGGAGTGCCTTTGCCTGGCCTATATCCAGAACATTCTTATTCCTGCTTCTGAGTCTAGTAAATACTTACAAATGGCTACCTTTGAAGTCTTAGCTAAAACATCTCCTCCAGGGCCACTTTAGCACCCAGACAATTATAAACCCATAAGAGCTGTGTGCTTTGAAGCCCAACATTTTACATTGATTTGTATATTTTAAGTGTTCAGCCAGGATTTAGTAAATAATTGTTTTGATACACACTGAATATGTATATACATATGTATATGTGCTAGTAATCATATCACCATTTACACTCTAAGTAAGTGTGAAAGACAGATGATAAAAGAATGTATAAAACAGTTGTGGGTTACATTCAACCATGTTTGTACTTGTATTTGTTTGATAGAAATTCATATAGAGCAGCAGTTCTCAACCTTCCTAATGCTACAACCCTTTAATACAGTTCCTCATGTTGTGATGACCCCCACCATAAAATTATTTTGTTGCTACTTCATAACTGTAATTTTGTTGTTGTTACGAATTGTAATACAAGGTCTTTGGGGGGATAGGACCCAAGATTGAGAACTACTGATCTAGAAACAAAGCAAAAGGAGACCAGATGACCTAAGATATCTTTCCTTTCCAAGGATCTAAATGATTCTAAAAGGACAGTCTGTCAATAACCCCACTCCTGACACAACCTATGAATTTTTTTTATATTTTCTTTTCAAGTTGTTTTTTAACTTCATTGATTTGTTTTGTATTAGGGAGGGGGTGCTTTAAAGTGTAGAATGCAGAAGACAGCTTGTGAGACTCATTTTTCTCCTCCCACCACAGGAGACCTGAAAACTGAACTCAGGCAAACCAGCTTGGAGAGAAGAGGCCTTACCTACCAAGCCATCTATCTCCCTGGTCGTCTCCTATACTTCTAGCAACCTTGAATTCATTTAAATTAACAAATTGTTCTTAAACACATTCTATTACTTCTTAGGAAGTCTAGGACTGATTTACTCCTTAGCGCAAGTTATTCTAAGTGTGAAGCCCTCTGCAGAATGACTTGCCTGGAACAGTAGGCTCTGAAGAATCATGCTTTGAATGAAGGAGTCCTTCCAGGAATCACAGACGCAGTTGAAATGCTAATCTGGGCCTTTGGACATCAGTCCACTGTTGGCCCTGGTTCCTAGCCCATTGGAACATCATCTCTATGGTGAGGAGGATCCTGGACAGCCTCGTGAGACAAAGAAATCTCAAAGGCTCTGTTCTATGTCTTTCATGTTGTTGTCCAATTCAGCTAAGCTTCTGTTGTATTTTGTTTTTCACCCATAAAAGGGAGAGAATAATAGTAAATCCTCAGGATGTGAGAGCTAAAGTCTATTGTGCCTTTGGGCTACTCTGAGACTCCAGAGACTTGGCATGCATAAGTGTGGATTTGCAGGCTACTGCTCTGACCCGAGTGTAGTGCGGGATGGTTTGATCAAACACAAGGAGCTTGGGAGGTGTGTCAGCTGGAGAATCCTGATCTACTGAGCTATATAGTACCATAGCTGATCCAAGATAATCATGAACCCACAACCTGCCAAAATGAACCCTGCCTCACTGGATTCCGGAGTCACCCTCTTCCAGTAGAGGATCTTTCCTATTCCTAGTGAGCTGAGCTGGGAAGCATTGGTGTGCTCTACAGAGCTGCAGAGCATATGAAAACTTTGTACTCTGGGCAAGAAGTGAAATCCCAGAAGCAGTAGCACACCTCTGTAAATGATCAATCTACCCATCTCACCTTTGGAATTAAAGCTCACAGAAAACTTCAGTCTCCGAGAATATAGAGTTCCCACCCCACCTGTGCCAAGCCACGCCCTGTTAGATCAGGATTCTGTAGATGGTGCTGGAGAATGTTCTTAAAGCAAGCTTCTAGGACGTCCTGTTTTCCAACATAGTCTCTGGATGACAGTATTAGCATCACTTGGCAATTTATAAGAAATTCAGACTCCTGGGCTATGTCCATACCTATTGAATCCATAGTTTAAAAGATGATAACAAAATACATACAAGGTATAATTTACCATGATGCTATTTTTTAGTATACAGATAAGTAGGTTCAAGTGTGTTCACATCATTGTATAACCCATTTCCAGGACTCCTTTTACTATACAGAAATGAAAAATTGATACCTGTTAGGCAAGTCTCCATCCCCTGTCCCCAGCCTCTGGGTTACACCCAGAACTTGGATTTTTAATAAGATTCACAGCTGGTTCTTATGCCTGTTAATGTTTGAGAAAGAGGAACCAAAGTATAAAAAAATTAAAAAAAATTACACAATCCAGAGCTTTGACTGAGTTTGGGGAGGCAGCCAGGCCATTTCCATGGGGCAAAGTCAGAGGCAAAACAATGGAAGTCAGTCAGTGGAATTAATCCAAATACCTCTGGGTAATTCTGGTACACAGTCCAGCTTGACAGCATTGCTTTAATGATTTTCTATTTGTTAACCACTGCAATTACCTAGATACTTTACAACCATATCCATACCAGAGGTCATCTCAAGCCATGTAAGGCACGTAACTAGAGGCAGGGCCTAGGCAACTTTTTCAGAACTCCCAGGGATTCTAGGAACTCAAGACTATCTATCTATCTATCTATCTATCTATCTATCTATCTATCTATCTATCATTATATTTAGGGCATGTTGTTTATATGCATGTATGTGCATGTGTAAATACTATAATCCAAAATTTCCTTTTCTGTGATGCTAGCCAAAGCCACCAGGGCAAATTAGCAGATGGGAACAGATTACTCTGATAATTTCTACAGCTTTGACTTGCACACCAAATCTGACCAACTCCACCACTGCTTAACCTGCCTGGGACTTTAACTCATAGTTCTGTGGTCACCAGTGATTTCAAGTTTGCCAAGATAACTGCACTTCATCACCACCTGTAGACACTGGGCAAAGGTGACTTTTGGAACCTGGTTTAATAATGACTTGACTCATGACTCTTTTCTCTGCATCACTGAGTCTGTTGGCATCATCAGTCAGAACGCCCATGTGTATTCTGTGATGGCGAGTAAGACAATGGGCCAGACAAAGTTTAGAATTACTGTTGTGGAGAGAAGAAAGAGTCTGGTAGGCTACAGAGGATTCTACCATGTATGGTCATTAGAAGAAATGGTGGCTCTAGGCTGGGCCTTGGATGTGGTCCAAGTTGTTTCTGCTCAACCTTCTGGCCTGAATGATAGTTCTAAGTATTTCAAGCAAGTCAATGGAATTGCAAACAAATCTATATTTGTCAAAAATAGTTCTTATTAGATGTAATTAAGTACTTTAGATGTAAACCCCTCCTTCATTGTCTGCCTCTGTGTGTGTGTGTGTGTGTCTGTCTGTCTGTCTGTCTATCTGTCTCTCTCTCTCTGTCTGTCTGGTATTCTCTGTCACCCTCTGTCTCTCTGTGTCTGTCTGGTACTCTCTGTCACCCTCTGTCTCTCTCTGTCACTCTCTGTCTCTCCCTCTATCTCTCTGTCTCTCTATCTCTGTATCTCTCTCTCTCCATCATTCTCTGTCATTCTCTGTCTCTCTCTGGGTCACTCACAGTTTCTAGAGATCCTGCTGCCTCTGCCTCTCGAGTGCTGGGATTCAAGGCATGTGCCATACCTGTCATTCTTTCCTGTCACTGCACTCTGTTTATCTTCCTAGCATCACTTACCACACTCAGAAGTTC